ATACACAGAGGGAAGACCAATTTCTTAGTGAATTGTGATTTATTCTCTACACTGCAAAAATGAAGCTCCAGGGTAACCAAAGGCTGATGAGATGGTCCCTCTTAGTACAGGATTTCAATCTGGAGATCCATCACAAAAAAGGGACAGAGAATGTACTGGCAGATGCGCTGTCACGTGGTTTTCGGAACCCCTAAGCGCCAAACATCTTTAGGGGAGATGTTTGGTTTTGGGAAGGGGGGTGTTATGGCCCTGTCCATAATCTGTTTTGGTGGCTGTTGTTGTCTGTGCCTTTAAGTCTTTGCAGGTCCCGGAGTGGATGAGCTGACGGCTGCTGATTGGTCCCCTGGCCATGTGATCTTCTTCAAATCCCTCACCAGCAGTTGTCCCGGGGCAGCCACTGACAGCAGCAGCAGACCTGACCCTGGCCTCCAAAACCTGAGACTTTTGTGCCTGTGATTTTTGCGGCTTTTCTGAGTTTTGTATATAGTGTGTACATTAGTTTTCATTGTAAATAGCACTGCAACAGAAGGGGTGAGCTGCCGGATTGTTTTTCCTTGCACTGTTTTCTCCTGTTTATTTCAGTTAGGGAGTTAGGTGTAGCGCTTGTCTTTTGTTTGATGTTTGATTTCACATAGGGTTCTAGATAGCACCTCCTCCTGACTTCATTTTTGCAGTGTAGAGAATAAATCCCAATTCACTAAGGAATTGGTTTCCCTCTGTGTATGGTTTTGGGGACCAGGGCGGGGCAGTCTTTTCAAACTTATGTTGCGTTCCTGTACCCCTAGACTGGGGCGTAACAACAGATTCACTTTGTCTAAGGTTTACTTCTGGGATTTCACACAACCCAGGATTGAGACCGTGAATACATAATGGGCTTGGATTTACATCATTATGAAGCTCTTTCCACGGGTTGTGTGTGACGTTAAATCATCAAACTCTAAATTATACATTTTAAATTGTTATTGATCCTTTACCCCGAGTCCTAAAGTGTATATTTATTTTCTTACTCTTCTTATATTTATTGTTTGTTTCCTTGCACTGCTGTAGCTGGAGCCTCGTCGTCGCGTCTCTCTATATGCTGGACTGTCTGTAGCGGAGATGACAATAAAGTTTACTTTGACTTCAGCAGCGAGCAGGCGCACCGAGGGCTCTCGCTTTTTTTTGCGTACAGAATTTCGAAAAAACATCGGTGCAAATTATAAGTCTGTATCATGATGTCTGGTGTTTTCCTGTTTGTTGTTTTGTTTTTATTTTGTTTTATTTTGCGAGTTGGTTATTAGATGCTGCTCCAGCCAGCCAGTGAATCCCCCGCCGCCCCGCCCTCTCCTCTCTGCGCCGCAAGCAGCAGGCGCACCTCGCAAACGGAGGGCGCCCTTACTCCCAGCAAATGGGCGATAGGAAACCGATCGGTGCCTGTACCATTCCCAGTATGCGCTGGCTGACGTCGGGGCAGCATGAGTACGAGCAATTATTATTTTTTTGCCGATGCCCGTGATGCCGCCCCCCACCAGGATGCCGCCCCGGGCAACCGCCCGTGTCGCCCATATCTAAAACCTCTACTGTAGGCTGCCATATAAAAAAAGGCAGCGTGGGCTAACTCTGATTACTGTAACTGTAAAATTGTTATAAGAGAAGAAGAACGTGATCGCATACACGATGAGCAGCACGTGCACGTGGTTTACACTGTGTAGTCAAGGGGAAAATACATTGCAGTTGATTCCAGCATATGTTGCTCAGGACATTAAACATTACTTTCTACTCATAGTAAATAAATTAAGCATTATCATTATCAATCAAACTTTGCTGTAATCCCAGCAGGTCAGCTGATCTCAGTGCCAGTCATACTCTTTCCCACCACATGCAAAATTCCTTGTAGGGCATCTTATTAAATCTGCTTTAGACTGCCCACAGCTGCCACACATCTGCAAACTACTTTGCAACCCAAATCCACTTGTGCTGTGTCTGACTAACTGAAGGTGTTCCACCTTAAATGTGGCTGCAGGACACTTTTACTCCTTATCTTCCTGTCGAACACACTGAGGCATATTGAGAAACAAAAATAATACCCCCAAAGTATGCAGCCAGGATCCATTTAGAGTGGACGTCTTTTGAATCGCATATAATGTGACACGAACAGATAAGAGTACGCTGCTAGTGTAGAATGATGAAGAAACAGAGGAAAAAAGGTCGTCTCTGCCCCTTCAAGCAGGCAAGTCCTCCTGTTCACTGCAGACACCTTGATGTGATTCCTAACCAGCTCGTTAATGTCTGCTTGCCTCATTTGTTCTAGCCTCGGTTTTTAAAACAGGTTGTCTCTTCTCCAAGTCTTCTGGTTACAATGGAGGCTGGACTAACTCATGCCCTCATGCCCAAACAGGTCAGCACTGGCATATCTATTTACTTGATGTTTCATGGCAGCCAGACAGATCTGGCTACATTGGCTCCGCTGCACCAGTGAACCCAGAAATACGGGATTTACTTTCACCATGATGACAGTCATGTGAACAATTCCTGATCAAATCTTCACATGTTTCAAGAAATTCTATCCCTTTGACCTTAACCTTAGTATGTTTTGGGGGGAAAAAAAGGACAGCTTTGAAAAACAATTACTTGGGATGTAAATCAGTTTGACTGTGTTTATTTTGGAGTCAGGAGTTATTCTAATACTATCTTGTGGTTAATTTAACCTCACATGCTCCAGGGGGTGAGATAATGTCAGTGCGGGCTAAAAACTGGGAATATGGGAAATAACTGCAAAAAGTTTGTCAAAAGTTTCACAAGTTGTATCCAAGTTGTGAGAAAAGGGAAATGTGATTTTCTCACACTGCTAGAAATACTGAAGAAAGACAGACTAGAATAGGATGCCATTCTCTATGACATACAGTATTCTATTACGCAATACAAATTATAGAGCAACTCCTTCATGTGGTACATGTAGAGACTGTCACATAAATAGTACCTGAAAGTAGAAGTGACATTATGTGTTCAGATTCATACATTCTTCTACACAGTCATGTTGGTGCATTCACTGTGCCTCTATGTGCAATCATATAACCGCCTCAACCATATGAATGTAGCACTGTGCTTCATATGTTTACATTTGGAACAACTTTCATTAGCAAGCAAAGAAGGTTAGACTTCACTCTTTGTGTCATCGTTGAGGACTAACCCAACTGCACTGCCTGGGAAAAAAGGACAGTTTTGGGAATGATACAAACCAGCAATCCAGCCATCCATCCATCCATCCATCCATCCATCCATCCATCCATCCATCCAGCCAGCCAGCCAGCCAGCCAGCCAGCCAGCCATCCAGCCATCCATCCATCCATCCATCCATCCATCCATCCAGCCATCCATCCATCCAGCCAGCCAGCCATCCATCCATCCATCCATCCATCCATCCATCCATCCATCCATCCAGCCAGCCAGCCAGCCAGCCAGCCAGCCAGCCATCCATCCATCCATCCATCCAGCCAGCCAGCCAGCCATCCATCCATCCATCCACCATCCATCCATCCCATCCATCCATCCAGCCAGCCAGCCAGCCAGCCATCCATCCATCCATCCATCCAGCCAGCCAGCCAGCCAGCCAGCCAGCCAGCCATCCAGCCATCCATTCATCCAGCCATCCAGCCAGCCAGCCATCCATCCATCCATCCATCCATCCATCCATCCATCCATCCATCCATCCATCCATCCATGCATGCATCCATCCAGCCATCCATCCATCCATCCATCCATCCATCCATCCATCCATCCATCCATCCATCCATCCATCCATCCATCCATCCGTCAATTCAATTTTATTTATACAGCGCCAAATCACAACAACAGTCACTTCAAGGCACTTTATATTGTAAGGTAGACCCTACAGTAATCCATCCATCCATCCATCCATCCATCCATCCATCCATCCATCCATCCATCCATCCATCCATCCATCCATGCATGCATGCATGCATCCATCCATCCATCCATCCATCCATCCATCGTCCATCCATTCATCCATGCATGCATCCATCCAGCCATCCATTCATCCATCCATCCATCCATCCATCCATCCATCCATCCATCCATCCATCCATCCATCCATGCATGCATCCATCCAGCCATCCATCCATCCATCCATCCATCCATCCATCCATCCATCCATGCATGCATGCATGCATGCATGCATGCATGCATGCATGCATGCATCCATCCATCCATCCATCCATCCATCCATCCATCCGTCAATTCAATTTTATTTATACAGCGCCAAATCACAACAACAGTCACTTCAAGGCACTTTATATTGTAAGGTAGACCCTACAGTAATCCATCCATCCATCCATCCATCCATCCATCCATCCATCCAGCCATCCAGCCATCCATTCATCCATTCATCCATCCATCCATCCATCCATCCATGCATCCATCCATCCATCCGTCCGTCCGTCCGTCCGTCAATTCAATTTTATTCAATTCAATTCAATTTTATTTATACAGCGCCAAATCACAACAAGAGTCACTTCAAGGCACTTTATATTGTAAGGTAGACCCTACAGTAATCCATCCATCCATGAGTTGAACTCAGACCTCCCATTGTACTCTGAAAAACAAACTAATTAAGTCATACATTGCTCGGTTTTCTAATTAAAGTCTTTTGAATGTGTAATGACAGCTTCTGTGAGTGACAGCCAGAATAACATCTTCGGTTTAACTAAATTTAGGTCTGCTTGTTGAGAGAAGACTAACAGGGAAAGAAGTCTGTTGCACTACTTTCATTGAGAGTATTTTAATTAGTTATGGGTTATTTAAATGTTTTTTATGCGCTTGCTCTCTCATCGTCAGCTCTTTTTTGACCCGGGCCTGTGTGTTTCTGTTCAGATGTAATAGCTGTCACGGGTATGATTCAACTAAGACATTACCAACTGTGAAACAGATGCAGTTGTGGTTAGAGAAGCTATGACATCCCAGGGGATTGCTAGCTTGCTTCTAGCTGTTATAAAGCACGTCAGTTGACGCGCCACTTTGATTTTCTTCAGTTTATCTATCTGATATTAACCAGATAGGCAGCATGCACTGGGAGAAATGTAAGTACACTATATTGTTGCTGTTTCCTCAGTATATACTGACTTTATATATGAATGAATAATTATGTTAAAGTGTAATAACTGGAGAGGTTTGCAGAATGAAATGTGCTTCATCAAACTTATGGATGAGGAAAGTTTTAAAAAGCACTCTGTGAAGTGTACATTACAGTTATTTTTACTAATGACAGGTGGATATAATCCCAGCAGCTCCGAATGATGTGTTTTTCCTTACCCTGAAAATACAACGTGTCTTTTTGAATAGTTTTAATTTAATTTTAGACATTTTTTTTAAAGCTACTTCCTTTGTCATTTTTGTAAATTATCAAGTATAGTGTTACTAAATGTTTTTCATTTCTGTCACATTTGTAGTTAATCTTTAATAAAATTCCTTTTTAGCTTACAAATGATTAAAGCCCGTCAACTCAGCGACGACCATTCGCTGCTAATTTGTTATTGTCTAGTTGAAGTAAAGTCTTCCTTTTCTGTTCAGGATTGTTTTTTATGTTGAATAGTGCAAACAGAAGGAAATATCTTTTCCTGTTGTGAACTTTGTCAGAAGCAGCTCTTTCGGAAAGCGGAAGATTGCCTTTTGAATGCTGGCTGAGTGTTGCCATTGGGGTGTAATCTTGATATGCAAAATGGCAGCAGGCAGCCAGCACAGTAAAACACCGCACAGCTGTGCAGCTTCCTCTTTTGTGTTGATTGAGTCTGTGTGCCTGTGCCATGGTGATTGTTTGTCCGTGTGCACTCATGTGTGATTGTCTAAAACAGATAGTAGTAAAAGACAACATCATCCACTCAACCGTGCTTCAGTTGACAGATACAGCAATTAATTTGAACTTGTTACACTCATTTCCTTCTGTTGGCACTGAGCATTTTGTGTGTTGGCTTCACATTTTCTCACATTTAGATACATATGTTCCATAATTGAATTTTCTGTGTTACCAGTTAATCTTTGTAGAAAACTCTTCCATTTGAATGATGAGGTAGAAAAGAACTCCATGACCACACTTCACTCTTGTTCATACAGCTCCTCTGTTTCTCTTGGCTGTGTTACAACATCACTCACCAACCTCCCGCAACAACAGATCTGTTTCTCATTTCTTCCCTCGCTTTGGTACAGCATTCTGCAGTTGCTCAATCCATGATCTGCAGATCAGGCCAAGAACTGAGAACAGGCCATTAACCCTTGTTCAGCCCCAAAAATGTCATGCAGTGTTTATCCAACTATTAGACAATTCATGTCACAAAATGGTGTGAAAAACATACATTTTAATCTTGTTGACATAAGGAACAGATTTACAGTTTTTCTTGATCGAGTTGACCGTCGGCCTGAACAGAGGCACTCGTGGTCAGACTGACACATCCTGCTTCAATCACATCTGTGTAAACTGTTTTGCAAAAGGCTGTGCAGAATTTGTCGCTCCAATAAGGAAAGGTTAACACATTTCCAGGAGGTGTCCTCTGCTCTGCTGATAGTCGTGATGAAAACTGAGTGATTTCTTTAAGCAGGTCAAGAAAAACTGTCACATGAAGAGGGGGATGTTTTAATGCTCTGTGCAGGTGAATCACAGGTACATGTGTCTGGTACAGCTTTTTTTTTAAATAGAGATTGAAAATGTGACGTCACTCAGGGGTAAATCCGCAAAGGATTCTGGGAACTCGTGGCAAGAGGTACTAGCGCACGCAGGCTTTCACAGTTACACAGCAATAAAAAGAAACACAAAAAATGGCAAGAAGCTGTTGTATTATTAACTGCAATAGCCGGTCGCATGACAGCCACGGGAAGCCGACGGGTAAAGAGATCGGTTGTTATCGGATTACGTCGTTGAAGAGAAATTGTTCGAGCCATGTTTCCGAAGTAACAAAGAGGCGACGGATGGTCTGGATTGCAGCCATTCAAAGACCAAATATAACGTCCCAGAACACTCCAGCTCACAGGTTAGTCTGCTCCAAGCATTTACACAAAGGTCAGTCTGCTGTTGTAGTTAATGCGTCATTTTCATAACATAATTGGTGATATAGGTTACAAGCAAGTCTGGCGCTGAACAGAAATTGTGACGCTATGCTCCTTTGTTTATTGTGCATAAATAGTAAATTGTCGTGACACAATATTGCGTTTCGCTTCTGTTATTATGGTACATTGACAAAAACATATACTTTTATTCACAGGATAAAACAGTTGTTTTGTATCACTAATTGTCCAGTGCGATTACAACATACAATATTATTGTCACTGCTACATTTCTGTGATGCTACCAGAAATTATTTCCACTACTAATTAATTACCGTTGAGCTCAAAGGTCCTATTAATAAACGGTTAACGAATGTGTATTTATGACGACAATTTGTGAGACTGGTAAACTTATGATACGTACGATGGTCTTTACTTTCTACACGGTGCATTTCAAGGTCCTGCACCCATCCGTCGGTAAACTGTACCTGGGCTTGTTGCAGTGACCTGAAGTTACTAAACTTCATGAGTGTATGCACTCACTCCAAGAACCGTATAATTATAAATCTGATCGTGGTGAAGTTGGGCAGCACGCTAACGTCTTTTGTCCCTCTGTGTGCTCGTGAGGGTCTGACCCTTTCACTCCTTTGATTTTTTCCTCGTATCTTTTCTTTGACTTTTCATCAAGTCTGTCTTTGTACGGACCGGCATTGTTTCCTTCGTTTTGTACAGAACCTTTTTGGGGGGCAAAGAAAAAGCAAGAATTTATTGGAACCGAAGAATGAACGTTTTGCGGTGCTGCAAATGCTTGCATTTGATGCAGGTACTTGGATTGTTTTGCCACGAGTTCCCGGCATGCAATGCGTGAAAGTCACGTGGTCTGCGAATCTCTATCCGGTTGTTCAGTCTGACGTCACTAGCCGTGTCTGGGCCTAAACTCCGCTGCAGGTCCATATATCAAACGATCACTGTGGCATTACTGAGAGTTAAAAACTGTCTAAAGTCTTTCATCTTTAATAAAATGATCAGTTCTGCTCTACCAGGTGTAACAATTGAGTTTAACATCCAGGCATCCATGAAAACGGAATTTATGACATTTAACGGAGTTAGAAGTTAGCAGGGAGTTAGCTCGCTAGCTTCTATCTAAATACAATATAGCATGTCCTGACTGCGGGGGTTTGGAAACAAATTAAAACGTACAGCTCTGTTATCACTTCCAACATAAATGAAGACAGAAAACTAAACAGCAGTGACGTTTGTAGGGTTACTGAAGTTGGGCTAGCTGGTATATAATGATGTGCTACGTGACCGCTAGCGACACAGCTATGTTAGCATAATATAAACAAGCTAACTTTTTTTCCACTCAATAAAAGTTAACGTGAGTGTTCTCGGTGGTCAGGAACAAATGTACCCTAACCCCTAACCCTGGGCTGTAGTTACATCCTAAGGTTTTAAAAACTGAGCTTAAATAAATGATTAGCGGTAATAAAAGCCGAGGGAGGTCAACAGTGATCACTGACTGTTTTAGGAGCTTTTTGAGATCAAATAGAAGAAAATACAAAACATTAAACATGTTAATAACACAAAAGCCATATTAAACTCAGACTACTTTAGGCCCGGAAGTAGGATTCGTCGCGTCATCACTAAACAACCGGATAGCACCAAGTATGAAGAATGGCTAAGAAATGAAGCTGGAAAGCATGTGCAGCAGCTTCGAGTCAGCATAGATATGGAAATGTACTAAGAGAGTGATGAATAAAGACAACGAGAGAGAGGCAAACACAGGACAATTAGGTAATTATCAAATTCAAAGAATTGGTGAGGAGGAAGTGAGCACAGCTGTGAGGAGGATGAAAAGTGGAAAGGCAGTTGTTCCAGACAAAGGTTGGACCTTTATTTCAGGTCCAACCTTTGAGAGTGTTGATGACATGAGATGCGAGGATGGGAAGCAGGTGGAAAGGGACCTGGAGAGGTGGAGATATGCTCGGGAAAGAAGAGGAATGACAGCCAGCACATGTGAGACAGAATATATGTGTGTGAATGGGAGGGAAGGAGTAGATAGTGAAGATGGATGAGTCTAAATACCTTGGGTCAACCATCCAAAGTAATGGAGAGCGCACAAGAGAGGTGAAGAAGAGGGAGCGGGGAGGATGGAGTGCGTGGAGATGAGTGTCAGGGCGGATTTGTGACTGTGGAATAGCAGAATGAAAGGGAAGGTTTACAACATGGACCTGCTGTGATGTTTTGCTGTGATGGTTTGGAGACCGTGGCACGGACAGAAAGACAGGAGAGCTGAAGATTTTGTAAGAGTGTCACTGGGAGTGAGCAGGATGGACAAGACAGTTCAGAATGTCAGAGGGGCGGCTCAGGTTTAACACTTTGGAAACACAGTCAAACAGGCAAGACGGAGGCGGTGTGGACATGTGGAGAGAGGGGATAGTGGATAAAAGATACTAAAGATGGAGCTGCCAGGCAGGAGGAAAAGAGGTCAGAGGAGGTTCATGGATGTAGTGAAGGAGGACACGTTGTGGGTTGGTGTGACAGAAGAGGAAGCTAGGGACAGCAGGAGATGGAGCTGATGATCCACTGTGATGCCCCCTTAAAGGAAACTGGTGTAAACAGAAGAAGACAAACAAGTATGAAGTATGATGGTGGAAATGTGCTGGTGTAGGGCTGCTTTGCTGCTTGGGGACGGAGCACCTTTTGATCACTGATTTAATTAGAACACAAGGTGCTTTACATTGTAAGGTCGACCCTACAATAATACATGCAGAGAAGAACCCAACAATCATATGACCCCCTATGAGCAGCACTTTGGCGACAGTGGGGAGGAAAAACTCCCTTTTAACAGAAGAAACCTCCGGTTCAGGGAGGGGCGGGGCCATCTGCTGTGATTGGTTGGGGAGAGAGAAGGAAGACAGGATAAAGACATGCTGTGGAAGAGAGACAGAGACAATGATTCAATGCGGGTGTATAAACACACAGTGAGTGAAGAAGAAACACCCAGTGCATCAACAGCAGTAATCCAGTAATGCACAAATGGGACGGTACATCACAGTTACTTTAATTAAACAACTTCTTCACACTTAAATAACATGACTTATTTTTTCCCATGTTGTAAATGGTTTATATAAAGTCTTGTGCTGTTATGTGGCTGAGTTTGTGTGGAGTCGACGAGCCTGTATTTAGACCCAAGTGCACAGACTGTTAAATAAATCTGCCACCGTTACTGTAAAATGCACATGGACACACATGCATACACACAAACACGCACACACGCAATGAAGAGGGGCTGGGCTCGGTGCAGTGGCCATTTGTGCGCCTTTTATTGTTAAGCACCACAGACGTGTCTGTACATGGCAGACTGTCACAGTGTTCTGTTTGTTCTGAGAAGAAAGTGTGGCCTGTCTGACCTATAGAGGTAAATCTATCAGCTTCAGAGAGGAAGCTGTGCAGCATACTGTCAGGATACCTTCAGCCTCGTGACAGGGGTTAAGCAGAGGACCGACATGTCTGGACCCAAGGTCTCCATCCTCTGTCGGTGTGAGTGATAGGAACCAAAACTCTGGGCTCAAGGTTAAAAAAATGTGCCGGTAACTGGAGGGAAATTCTGAGAAGAGAGAAAGACTTCCCTTTATCAGGGTCCTCAGTGATCAGTGTGGAGGAAAAGAAAAAGAAACAGGGACAAACATGAAAGTGTCCTTTTGCCATGGCAGACTTTGAATGGTCACAGAAATTTCTCATTGTGAAATTTTGGTAAAGGAGGAAGTGCTTGTACCCCCCCGCCCCCGATTATGCCCTGTTCTTGGCGTGGAGACAAATTCCACATAGCACAATCTGTTGACCTCTATTTGCTTTCTTAACTGGATAATCACAAATGAGGCTTGATACAGCCTTACTAATTTGGGGGATTTCTGCTAATCTGCAGAATTTCATAACTGAAACCAAGTAATTCCAACTAAATCCATTTTTGAATGATGTCCATGCACCACAACGGGCTCAGCGTGCTGACGTCTGAAGACAGGGAGGCAGTTTATGTTCAGCTGAGCTACGAGCTGCTTGTTGAAGCGAACTTTTAGTTACTTAGTTGTGAAGCCCAGCTAAGTAAACGGACTCACCATGTTTGCAGTGCAACAGAGGATATGCAGGCATAACAGAAACATCCAGCTGGGTCCGGTTCATCTTCTGCCACAGTATTAGGGTGGGGAAGGGGATGATAAGACTCAACATGTTATAACGAGAAACCTGCACACATGAGAACTTGAAGCTCAGTATGGCACAATGTCTTGGCACAGCATCAACATCACAGTCTGTGGGAATGAGCCTTTTCATTTGAACTGACTTAGCTGTGACTTAGCTGTGCACCAGTCCATCTGAGCCACTGTCTCCAGCGTGAGTCTCAGACTGTTTCATTAGGAAATAATTGATGGACTCTCCCCAGGAGATTGCAAATTTCCTGTTTTTAGTGTGTGTTTGTAACCCCAGCGATCATATCAGCACATTTTAATTAAACTTCGTATTTCTTTTATGAAAAATATTTCAAGCGTGTAGAATCTAAGAGCGACTGTAAATGTGCAGGTCAGCAGTGTCAAAGACATTTTCTGGCAGCTGCTGACACATCTGTGCAATTCCAACAACAGTAGCTCATATACAAAACCAAACATGGAGGCATTCAATCGATATGTTAACTAACTCAGACGTGCGTTTGTTAAAACCACGTGTGAATGTCACAACTGTTTTTATAGATCATGTTCAGTCAATTTATTTATTATTTCTGTATTTATGAGGAAGTTCTATTAAAATAATAAAAAACGTGCCTTTAACTCTGCGAGTCATCAGACATGACCACAGCTCTACATCAGGTGGTTATAATTTTTCTCATAGTTGCAATCACATGTTGTGCTTACCTGTGGCATCTAAAGAGGCTAACGTTCACAGTAAAGATCTTAATAAGTGCTCTATGCAGTGCATGCTAGCAGCCTTTATATTTGGAATGAGGGGTTTTAAATCTGCAGCCACACAGTAACAAATGAATGGAGTGTGCTCAGCACTGTTAGTTTGTATGGAGGCCGCCTGCTCTTTATTCTGGTTTTAAATTTGTACATGTCCTCCTTTTAACCTGTTAACCTAGCATCATGATCAGTGTAGCTGCTGTACAGTGTGTTACGATGCACAAATGACCGTGGTGTCATTGTTTTATGGTCACGCTTACCTTTGGAGCACATTTCTGCAATACCGGTGATTTTGTAGCTCGGGGCGGCAATGACTGATGCCATTGTCTGCACTTGTGCTGATTAGAGTTTATATGAATGCGACTTTGCTGTTAGGCTGGATTTTTTCTCATGCTTATACTTGCAAGAATCTGCCAGTTCCAGACATTGAATGTTCCCAGAAAGCATTTACTCTGTCAGTGTGTCTCTGTTGAGGATGGAGCCTTCAGGCTTATCAGTAAAGTACGGCACTCAGCCAAAAAATGTTAATGAAATAATTTGAGCTGCATGTGAAACACAGAGTAATGATTTAAGACCCGTTAGAGTTCTTTTTGTTTTGTCAAATTAATTATAAGAATTATAAGGTGATGCACATGTTTTATGATGAAATGCCCATTTTTGTTTGTGTTTTTCACACAGGTTTTATTGTATTGTTACACAGTTACTGTAAGCTGCACATTGATGGTTATCATAGCATATAACCATGTAATAAAGCTTTGACTGCTCCCTTACAGACAGGGGCTCAGCATAGCTGGTAGCACCACATGTTTATTTGGTTTTATTTTACTTCTTGATGCAACAATGTGATTCATATCAGGAACAAACCCAGCGTAACCTTGATCCACTGGTCTGCTGGGATATCGCCAGTTTCCATCCAAGGAGCTGACATGTGCGTTATTATTTTAGTTTGTTAAACTGGGCTCGATCCAGGTGACAGCGAGCCAACGTGATGCTACCTGTGTGCGTCAGCAGCAGTCTGTACTCAGTTTAAATATGACATGGATCAGTTCGTAAAGGCTGAGAGAGGTGGACAGAGAGGGAGAGAGCAGGAGAAGAACAGGTGAGAGGGGACGTGTGGTCACAAAAGTTCTTCTTCACAAAGTGTCATTCACGGATGCTCAGCCTGCTTTCCAGCAGCACACTTTCAGCCGACCGACCCAAGGGGGACACCATCATTGCATTTGTCTGTGTTTGACACGAGGAAGCCCTGCACTGCAGCCCAAACAGATCACGTCATAACAGACCTGTTGATTTCTTCCAAACCAAAAGCACCAGTTTAACAACCTTAGCAGCAAACATTTTGAGCTATTATTTTACTGGACAGTTCAACATCAGGTCAAATTGAAGTGCATGCAGCCCGTGACCTTAGACACTCGTGGACATTCACTGAGAATATTGGTTGTAAAGGCTTATATCAGCTGATGCTGACACTCAAAAGGCTTAAAGAGAATACGTCTGAGAGGTTCACTTTCCGTGTGTCTTTAGTGTCTCAGTGTCGGCTTACAGTCATGGCACCTGAGCGCGTCTGCTTCCTCCGTTCATGAACTGTGTGAACCCATCGTGTGCATCATGTGGCTGATTTAAAGCAACTTGAAAAGGAAATGAGGTTGTGTGTATCTGTTCATTGCTGTGTGTCTGACCTCCTTAGCACAGCCATCAGCCGTGGGCAGGTCCAGGCCATACCAAGGTGTGCGAGTCAGGGATCCTGTCAAAGAGCTGCTGAGGAGGAAGAGGAGCCTGGAACTTCACAGCACCAAGACACTGCCTCCTACTGGGGTGAGGACGCCATGACAGATAAGCAAAGAACACTTGTTGATGTTTGAAGCACAAGCTGCCACATTTATAACGAGCAGGGTTCAAAAAAAGCAGTCTTCAAGTAAAATCTGAAACGAATGAAAATGTCTGTGTGCATTTACCTGCAAGGTAAGTCATTTCCTGTAAATTAATGTGTGGTTTAAAAAAAGCAAAACCAACAAAACCCTGCAGATTGTTCCTTAAAGCTGTACTTGGACTGTGTGTTTTCAGGGTAGGTTTACTTTGCTAAACAGTGTTTCCAAAGAAGCCCTCACGGCATCGTTAGTCACTAAACAAATACACAGGAGACTCCCACAGTGGGGAGCAGCGACTGCTCTGCATTATGTGCTGACACTTTGAAACCGGCGCTTTGTGAGACGTTTGGGAGAGACTCAGTTAAAAATGTGTAAGAAAATAAATAAAAGTAAAATAGAGCGGTGCTCTGCTTTGGTTTCATGTTGAAGAACATTTTGCAAGGTTTCAACAACAGTTTCCATGAACCCCCCCCCAAAAAATCCCCCCACCCCTCTTTGACGTAGAGCTGCCCTCTAATCACATGACCTGATAGCCTCCTGATGATTTATCACTTTCAGTCTTTAGGCCAGTATTCTTTTCTCGTGAATCACTGATCTCTCTGCAGGGATCACAACCTCACAGAACAGCAACATGCAGAGACTGTTTGATTGGGAGTGACTGTTCTGCACCTCAGGAGACTGCACATGAGATCTGCAGGAATCGAAAGCAAAATGTCCTGTGAGGATGTGTTCGGTCGGGATACAGGCTCAGAAAGCAGCGGGGGGTTTTATCCTTATATAATCCAGGTGTTTTTCCATGGCGGTTACAGCAGAGCTGCAGGGCTGGGCACACAGCCCTATGCAAAGTAACGTGCAGCCTTGCCAAAGAGACCTCCCACTTTCTATTTATTATCCCTACAAGAAGAGAAGAGGCCAGAAGCAGCGGTGTGCACAAACATACACATGTACGGACACTCCCCGTGACTAGCATGTGATATTCCAACATCTTTTATTGGCACGGCACTACAGTTGATTATTTTAAATGCAATGAGTTAGTGCTGCTAGCAGCAAAGATAAAATTCTGTCCACTTCTTCCACTATTTGCCTGCCTGGCAGGACTACGTGGGTATTTCCAGGATTCTGGTTCAAAGGGACGACAGTTGTGTTTGTGCAAATCTCAAACCAAACCACATTACTATGAGGTGGCAGTTATTCCACACTCACTGAGTCTGCTTTCAGATGTTGTCACTGCAGCTTTCCACAGTAAAAATCCTCCGAACGTGTTGCCTTTGGAGCTAAGAAGCGTGTTGTGAAAGCACGCTGTCATCATCTCTGGACTGAATTCCCAGTTTGTTCAATCAACCTGATAAATCACAGCTACGCTGCGAACAGAAACCTGAGCACCAACGATGAGGAAATACATAAAAGCCAATACCTGAATAATTCATTTTGAATTCCAGAAGTTAACTATACGACACATGCACATTGGTCTTTCCTCTTTTTGTGGATATTTTGTCCGTTTTTCTTTGAGGAAAGATTACAGACTTCACAAAAAGTGGATTTTGCCACATTGTCCACTCTCTGCCTCGTCTCTGTGTTTGTGCAAACCCAAATGTCCGTCTCACAGATTGAGTCTAAAACCCGTCTGTTTGGTATCGACCGGTCGGGCTGTACATGTGCCTGTAGCAAGAAGAGACACTGCGATACGCAAACACAAAAGACCGAATGGGAGGCAACAGCGGCAGCACTGACAGCGTGTGTCAGTGTTTGTACTGCATCCTGCTGCCTGCAGTCAGCGGGCAGGGCGTGTTCAAGGCAGCAGGGAGGTGCTGCCAGGTGGCTGACGGGCTGCAGGAGAGGAGCTGATGGTTCGACAGCTCTGACAGGAGGAGCTACAACAATCGCACAGTTAAACCCCACTGTGGTCACTTTCTGAGGACGCTTTGTGTTCACAAAGTAAAGGACCTGATCACCTGCACTGGGTTTGACTGAGGCTGAGGAATGAGTCGGCTTTAACAGCATCCATAAAAGTTACACCTGGACATGCCGACTGGGTGTGTTCCACTTCACCATGAATGCGCTTTAAGAAGCAGCCATAACGTTCTGCTTGAACGATAATCTGAACCTCTTACACAAAGTGTGGCGGCACCATCCTCTACCTCCAACTTCATTTAGTTCAATCTTTCAGTGTCTGAATGTATTTCACATTAGCTGCAGGAACTTTCCAAAGGGTGAAACTGGATTCAGTCGGTCGGTCACAGATCCATTAAAATCAACTTGATGATTTTTTAAATGACTCATGCAGTTTATACTGTGCAGAAATCCCGAGCCACCCTTTACATTTTGCTTCCAGAGTTTCTGCTCATTTGGACATTGGTTTCTTTTTCATTCGCTGTCAGTCCGGCTGTGAATCATTCGAGCATTAAAAAGGAGGCTAACTGAAGGGATGCAAAAACACACCCTTTGTTATCATTTCTTGGTCAAAAGTACCAACGATAACACACTCTGACAGAGGTAAAATAAAACAAAAGTGACTCCAAAAGAGCCAGACTGTGAAATACTGTATCCTCAAAAAACTGTGAAATCTGGGGAAGACGAGGAGTGGCACCCCTAAAAACAAAGAAAACAGCAAATGATCAGTACAAGAAACAGGAACACATCCAACAATGACCTGACCCTGGACCTGAGGAGTGTAACTGGCCCTTCAGCTGATCTAGCTCCTGAAGCCTGGACAGAAATGGTGTCAGTCAGTCACAGTGATAAATCCAAACGTAATGTTTTGGTTTGAATTAGTTTCAGTATGTACAGAGGAGGCCAGGAAAGAGCCCGACTAAGGGTCTGCAGCTCTCTGTGAAGCACGGTGGAGGCTCTGTCGTGGTTTGGGGCCGCGCTGCTGGTGACCTTTCAAAACTGATAAAAGTACCGTGAGATTTTGATCCACCACGAAACAGAAAGGAGTCTGATTGGCCACAGCTTCATTTATCAGCATAGCTATGATCCTAAAGACATGATGTCAGTGCGTTAAAGCGCACACACAATGGAAACCCTCCAATGAGTGTGTGTGTGTGGAGAAATACAATGTCAAAGCAATGAATAGCACAGGTTCAGAATGGGTTCAGTGGTTCTTCAGCGATCCTCTGTATCATTGTCTCTTTCTTTTATTTGCTATCTTTACAGCTCACTTCTTCTCAGGAGAGGACCTGCCTGCTCTGGCCTCAGAAGAACATAGATCCTAGATCTGCTCCCACACGTGCCTGAGATATGTCATTTACAGCAGAAGCAGCTGTTGGCAGAACAAGCTGGAATTTGCTCAGTTAGCATGAAAAACATTTGTCATACATGTAGGCTTTGTGATCGTCCAGTAATGGTTTTATTTTTTTGCCACTTTAATAAATAAGGTTAATCATGAACTCACATTTATCCCCCAGATTATACAAGACTGGAAAAACCCCTCATAAGTTATTTATTGGGGAGAAAAATCCAGTATGATATATCCAGTATGCCAGCATTGGTAAATAGAGACCCTGATGACTGTCCCACCTCAGCTTTGTCTTACCTTCCAAGGAAATGTTAAAAGCAACTGTACCGTGAATGAAAGAACATTTCCCAGTCAGACCAGTCAAGATGTGTCACTGCACAATAACAAACGCTGGGTGCTGCACAACAGTACCAGTGCTCTGTGTTTTCACCGACCCACCAACAGCATTTATAGAGCCTGGCCTTTGAGGTTTAGATGAACGGTCTGTTTTAATACTATCATGGAGGCTCACAGGGGTCGTCTGATCATCGGGATATTCTCTGTATTACTGTAGGTCGAGGCATGTGGCACTATATAAATAAAGCTGAACTGGACCGATGTACTTCCATGCCCAGTAGTATCAAATTCACAGCTTTCGCTTTAATGAACGGATCCAGAAAAACAAGTTCAAAAAACACTTTTCAAGAGTGAATTCTCAGATAGCTGCTCACACCTGAGTGTCACAGGTCCAGGTGTGGCTGCTGCATGTTTACATATCAACATCGCCGCGTTGCTGTGATTAAGGTTCTGCTGCAGTTATTGACCTGTTAAGCTCATTGATGATATCTGTGTTTTTCAGGACATGGTCTCACACAACAACCAGCTGTCATTTACACAAGGTAGAAGCCTCACCTGTGAACTACATGTTCCACGTAAAGCTGTTTCCGCGTGTCTAATGCCGAATCTGCTTCTTGTTCTCCAGGTATCTTTGGCTGTGATGTTGCCAGCGGATCCCCAGCCGAAGCGCCGACCACAGCTGCTGATGGAGGGCTGCAGTGTGCGGGGTGGAAAGCGACCAGTCCTGGGCTGCAGGCCGCCGCCATGTCCTGGTCGACGCCTGACTACAACCAGCAGGACCCCTCAGCTCAGACTCTGACCTACCCAGCCACTCCGACACTTACTATGCAAACTCTGTGTCCCAGCTACACCATGCTGACCTACACACACACACCACTGCTGACAAACTTTGGGGTGAGTGAAAAAGGACTATGCAAATATGTTCTACAGACTGCACGGGGGAATAAAATGATCACAAATCGGCACAAAAGGATAAAAACAATCAGTTCTCGCTCTATCAGTCAAATGTGATTTAACAGATAGAGCCATTGCAACAGTACAAGCATGGATTCAGGCTATTATTTCACTTTAAAGTAAGGTTGTGTATAAGTATGTGCAAGTATAAATATGTATATGTAAAAGTACATGTACCAAATCTGAAACTCTAGGCATTAAGGGGCTGCTTCACCTTTGAGACCCGATGGTACTGTATCCCACAGAGTCACGGCTGGGACGGGAACGATCTAAAGTTTTCTTTAAAACTCATTTATGTCAAAATAATGCAACATGTTTAACAGCGCCACAGGATCCTGTTATCGTATGTTCTGTCTTTAGTGAACTAAGTCATCTTATTGTGCTGGTAGTCTCAGCGTCTGTAATCAAAGGTAGCTCGTACAGGGCTCGTCTTTCTCTACAGGTGCAGACAAGTGTTTGTGATGCAGTGTGATGCTTCCCACCATAAAAGCCTGTTATCACTGCATGCATGCTCTCTGTGTTAACTGCCAACAGCTGCTGTGCTTGTCTTTAAATTCTTACATTTCAAACCTGCTGCAAGTGGGTAATAAATACAGAGATAAGACTGGGGTAGAGGATTAACTGGAACTCTTTAAACCCGCCGAGGACCTTTGTACACCGTGGGATTAACATGGGATTTAGATTTCTGCCTGTTCAGCATGAACGATTTCTCCTTTATATTTGCAGCTCTTTTTTCACTGCAGTTTTTGAATTTATCCAGAGAATAACTGTCACTGACTCAGTTTAGGGATTTACATACACGTCACTCATCATGACGATGAGTTGATGTGCAAAGTGGAAAAATATGTTTGTCTCTGAAAAAATAAATAAATGGAAACACATCACAACAAAGAGAATCCAGGAAGGAAGAACATGGTGGCTGTCTCCACATTAAAACACTGGGACATGACCACGAGGCTAATTAACACCAAACATGTAGGTTCACCGTAGAAAGATTCACCGCAGCAGTCTGAATCAGCACAAGCTGTACCCGGTCTGTGTCCACCGGGTTCACTAGGGCCCTCTTTTCTTGTGTACCTAATTATATCTGATTACAATATTCCTGTGAGCTGAACAATAAATGCTGACTGCAGTGACACTGCGTCTACCTTCCAAACCCTCCACAAAATCTTGATTAAAACATAAAAAAATCAATGATTGAGCGCCTAAAGTGAGGCTCGTGGCATCAGCAGACGTCCGTTTTATGCATGCGTTTGACTTTTTGCAAGGTTAAATGTCTTTGCCATCATCATAAATATTTAATGATTGCTGTTGTTTCAGACCATACCAGTGGCACCAGCCCCAGCCTCCCTGCCTCAAGTGGAGCTCCAAGACTCAGGGTTGACCTATCTTCCTTGGGCCCAGCCACTCACCACTATATCGACCATGCCTAATCACGGGGTGCAGTTTGCCCCGGGTTCTGGAGCGCTGCCTGGGTCGCCTCTGGTACACATGCCGCTGTCCATGTCGTTGACCGCCATGATCCCACAGCTGGAGCCCCAGGGTATGGACCCTCAGCCCGAGATCCTGGAGATCCCCGAGCATTCAGAGCAGCAAGCTCAAGGTCAGTCTCTGAACGAAGACCCGGAGGTTGAGGCGGAATCACCAAACCTACTGGACAAACTTCTCGAGGATCACAAAGAACATGGTGAGGAGGAGGACAAAGACTCGTACAGAAGCTCCCTCTTCATACCCAATGTCTGAAGAACATTTTTTTAAATATGAAATCAGTATTTTTACCTTTACATTTCATTTTTTTCCCTCTGGGGCAAGTGCCTATTGGCCTTTTTGTGTAACTTGATTACCACAGATTCTGTATATTATTAAGCCTTTGAGGTCTAACCTATCTAACTTACCCAAACCAAGTGTTTTCTGTGATTTGTAAGCAAAACTTGAAATAGTTTCTCTTAGTTATCGTGTTTTTTTGGTGTCCCTGTTGCAAAGACTTGTAAGAAAAACAATGAAAATCCAGAAAGCGATTATTCTGAAAGTATACAGTAGAGTCAGGGTTCAGGTACGTGTTACCACACATTATGACCCAGACTTCACAGAACTATTAATTTCTTGGATAATTGGGAATCACACGTCTATAATTATCCATGCTGGCTCATACTTAATAATAATAACAACAATAATAATAATAATAATAATACATTTTATTTATAGGCGCCTTTCAGACCCTCAAGGTCACCTTACAAAAACACGTGAGCAATAGCAGCATATATTAAACATGGCAAAATCAAATTTAGATAGATATAAAATAAATAAATAGATATAAAAACTGAGCAAGGTAAAGACTCTTCTGGATTATTATGACCTGAGTTTTATTTTTGTAACTGCTCCTGACTTCCTGTTATTACATTTTCATTATGTTCATTTGATTTATTAGAAATTAGTTTAGTGTGCAGCAATAAACAGAACCGAAAGACAAATCATTTCTTGCATAGAGACTAGCGTAATTCTAGTAGTCTGTTACCTACAGTGCAAAGGTCTTAAGCAAAGGCTTCATATCTTTATATCGTCAATGGGAAATGGGCACGGCGCATTACATACATGTAAACACAGTATATTTGTACAATGAGCTTAGAAGTCCATATTTGGTATGACCACAGAGCCTTACCTGAAATCACAGGCAAGTTTCATGTGACTTTTAAAAGCCTCCTTCAAGTTTTTCTTTGGATGTTGGACGCAGTGTTTTGCAGCTTGTAGTGAAAACCATTGCAACATTGTTCAAGATGAACTTTAAAAAGTTACAATTCTGTCTCCTTAGATGCAAAATCTAAATAACGGAGTAGCTCAAGACGTTTGCACAGAAATGCTATAAAATCCATGTTTGTCTGTGTTTGAGAAACAGCTAAAGCACACTGTGATTCAATTTCATATGTATAAAAGTCAGTCTTAAACAGATGCCATCTAGTGTTGTGTTTGCAGAATGCAGTTCAGCATTATGTCACAGCTGAACAACCTTCTTGTTTTATATAAAGGGACCCTGTTGTTCTCAAATCCAGCTCATTTCCGATTTGTGGACTTTGCTAGATTTGCTTTGCATGAACAATTTTGGATTTTTGGACACATGTCTGAAATGTGACAGCACAGAAGTTCAAGGCAGAAACATCTGGAACCACTGATCGAGGTTTTGGTGTGCTTTTGTCTTAACCTGTGTAAATGCTTCTGCTTGTAGGTAAACAATGAGCAAAGGTTTCAAATAAATGGAATGCAATAGAAAACATTTCTCTCTGGAAAATGAAACCACTGAAGTGTCAAAAGCTGCAGTTCAGCCTCCTGAAGCTGGCTGCAGCAGTCAGTGTGTATCGACTGGTCCCGGTGTTACAGTGTCCACCTAAACAAGATGAATGATCACCCCTCTCTGATTTTTCACATCATATCAACTTCACAATAAACCTACTTATCTGGACTCTGTTAAGTCTTAAAGTTACTGCTGCTGCTGCTTTGAGTTACAGGTGAACTGGACTGTGTCTGTGCTCCAGACAAACAATATGTCTTGCTGTGGGGTACACACCTTCCAGTACTCAATTCTGTTTTATTTCCATGTGACTTTGAATTTTTATTAGTAAAAAAAGCTTAAAAACAATCAAAAAGTCAAAGTACAAATACTTTGATGTTGTTCAGTACCTCAGCATTTTAATGCAAACACTATTTGATGTCCAGTAGAAATTGCAATAGTGTAATAGTCTTTGACTTTGCTAGTCTCTCCTAGAGTTACTCCAAACTAGACTGTAAATTACAAAGTTACATTTTATTAATCGAAACAATCAGATTTCTTCCCCTGTTGGCCAACATGCAGGATTAAGCCACGTGCACCTTGACAAATGATAGTTTGAACTCATGACCAGTAGTATTATTAACAACAGCGTTATAGTTTTTATTTGTATAGCACATTTAATTAGATTAGGTAGATCTGAGTGTCATCGACATATGAATGGAAACAAGTGTTATATTTACTGAAAATTAGACCTAGAGGCAGCAGACACAGAGAATAAAATTGGCCCCAGTAAAGATCCCTGAGGAACGCCACAAGTAAGGGGAGCTGAGGAAGCGGATCTCCAAAGCTCACGGAAAAGGTCCTGTCAGACAGCTATTAACCTGTGTTGATATTAAATTAGTGATTAATTAACTATTAACCACTCGAATGATAAACCCTTGATCCCGTAATGCTCCAGTCATGAGATCCAGATGCTGTGGTCAGTGAGTCAGTGGCTCAACTTTTAAAAGTGCAGTTTTGGTGCTGTGAAGAGCTTTAAAACCAGACTGAAACCTGAAGAACATCCAGCCCATTTACAAAAGATTGCAGCTGAACAAATACAATCTTTTCCAAAATTTTCGATTGGAAGGGAAGCTTTGAAATAGGCCTGAAATTTGAGAGGACAGAGGAATTGAGACGAGGTTTTTTAAGTACAGGCTGTACAACAGCATGTTTAAAACAGGCTGTACAACAGCTGAACTAAGGCTGCTGTTAAAGATCCTTAATAGGGATGGGTATCGTTTAGGTTTTATCCGATACCGGTGCCAAATCGGTACTTTTGAAATGGTGCCGGTGCTCAAACGGTGCTCAAACCGGTGCTTAAAGAATGGAGAACACAAAATTGGTCCAAAAACCTCTCATGTTCAGCTGGTTTTTTGTAAAAAGATAACAATGTTAGCCTTCTCTGCAGCTATGGGGCATATATGGTATCACTCTTGGCTGGAAGCAGTCAGAATCAGAATCAGAATCAGAAAGGGTTTTATTGCCAAATGTTGAGCAGGTTTACAACATTAGGAAATTGCTGCGGTGCTTCAGTGCAAACATACTGTCATAAAAATATAAAAATAAGAATAAGAATTAAAAGTGCTAAGTGGATAGATATATACATGATATATACATGAGTGCAGGTGGTGATCAGTGCCAAACATGGAATGATGCAGTGACACAGCGTAGGGTCATGTGTTAGTGGTGGGAACAGTCATATGGTTATTGTTCATGTGTCCAACAGCAGAGGGGAAGAAACTGTTCTTATGGCGAGAGGTTCTGGTGCGAATGGACCGGAGCCTCCTGCCTGAGGGGAGCAGGTCAAACAGACTGTATCCAGGGTGAGAAGGGTCAGCTGAGATCCGAGCTGCACGCCGCAGTGTCCTGGAGGTGTACAGGTCCTGCAGAGATGGGAGTCTTCAGCCAATCACCTTCTCAGCAGAGCGCACAACACGCTGCAGTCTCTGTTTGTCCCTGATAGTGGCTCCAGCGTACCACACGGTGATGGAGGAGGTGAGGATGGACTCGATGATTGCAGTGTAGAACTGCAGCATCGTCCGTGTTGGCAGGTTGAATTTCTTCAGCTGCCTCAGGAAGTACATCCTCTGCTGGGCTTTCTTGATGACGGAAGTGATGGTGGGCTCCCACTTCAGGTCCTGGGTGATGGTGGTACCCAGGAAGCGGAATGAGTCCACAGAGGTGATGGGGGTGTCAGTCAGGATGATGGGGGGAGTGGAGCTGTGTGCTTCCTGAAGTCCACAATAATCTCCACTGTCTTCTGGGCATTCAGCACCAGGTTGTTGTGGCTGCAGCAGGACACCAGACGTTCAACCTCCCTCCTGTAGGCAGACTCGTCCCCGTCCGAGATGAGTCCAATAACGGTGGTGTCATCTGCAAACTTGATTAGCTTGACAGACTGGTGGGTGGAGGTGCAGCAGTTGGTGTACAGGGAGAAGAGCAGAGGAGAAAGAACACAGCCCTGAGGGGAGCCGGTGCTGATGGTCCGGGAGTCCGAGACATTCTTTCCCAGCCTCACATGCTGCTTCCTGTCCGTCAGGAAGTCAGTGATCCACCGGCAGATGGGATCAGGCACATTCATCTGGGAAAGCTTGCCTCGGAGATGGTCTGGAAGGATGGTGTTGAAGGCAGAGCTGAAGTCCACAAACAGGATCCTGGCGTAGGTTCCTGGGGAGTCCAGATGCTGCAGGATGAAGTGTAGGGCCATGTTGATGGCGTCATCTACAGACCTGTTGGCTCTGTATGCAAACTGCAGGGGGTCCAGGAGGGGGGCCGTGAGGGTCCTGAGATGGGAGAGAACTAGGCGCTCAAAAGACTTCATGACCACAGATGTCAGAGCCACGGGTCTGTAGTCATTTAGTCCAGTGATCCTAGGTTTCTTGGGGACAGGGATTATGGTAGAGGACTTGAAGCAGGCAGGCACATGACATGCCTGCAGTGAGGAGTTGAAGATGCCAGAAAACACTGGGGCCAGCTCGTTTGCACAGTGTCTGAGGGTGGCAGGAGACACGCTGTCTGGGCCGGGAGCTTTCCGAGCATTCAGGTTCTTAAACTGCTTCCTCACATCTGCTTCATGAATATGAAGAGTTGTGGTGGGAGGAGGTGGTGTGAAATCCTCTTTTGTGTGGGGTGAGGAGGGGGGTGTTGTAGGTGAACAGTTTGAAGGTGGTGATGGCTCTATGGAGGGGGGAGAGGTGGGGGAATGAGTGTCCAAAGTGCCTCTATTGTTGGGGCCGTTGGAGGTGTGAAGGGTGCCTGATGGCTCGTCAAAACGGCAGTAAAAGTCGTTAAGGGTGTTGGCTAAGAGCAAGTCATCAGTGGAGTGGGGGGTTTTAGGCTTGTAGTTTGTAATATTCCTAAAACCTTTCCACACAGAGGCCGAGTCATTCTCTGAGATCTGCTGCTGTATCTTCTCAGAGTGCTGATGTTTAGCAATGTCCACTTCTTTAGTGAACCTGTACTTGGCCTCTCTGTAGCAGTCCCTGTCTCCACTTCTGAACGCCTTTCTCTTTTCCAGCCACAGCTTTTTGAGTTTAGGAGTAAACCAGGGTTTGTCATTGTTATAACTCACCCTGGTGCGTGATGGCACAATGCTGTCCTCACAGAAGTGGATATAGGAGGTGACAGTGTCCGTAAACTCGTCCAAGCTGTTAGAAGCAGCCTTCAGTGTGTCCCAGTCTGTAGACTCCAAACACGTGCGAAGCTCCTCCACAGCCTCGTTGCTCCACAGTTTTTTGGTCCTCACGACAGGTTTGGAGAGCTTCAGCCTCTGTCTGTACGTGGGGATCAGGTGGATCATGACGTGGTCAGAAAGTCCGAGTGAAGCGCGGGCACCGCGCGATAGGCCCCGCTGATCGTGCTGTAACAGTGGTCTAATGTTCTCTCCTCTCTGGTCGGGCATTTAATATACTGCTTGTATTTGTGAAGCTCATGGCTCAGATTGGCTTTGTTAAAGTCCCCAAGAGCAATGATGAGAGAGTCCGGGAATGTCCGCTCCATGTGGAGTATCTGCTCCGCGAGTGCGCACTGAGCTGCCTGCGCATCCGCATCTGGCGGGATGTAAACAGCGGCCAGGATGAATGAAGCAAACTCCCGCGGAGAATAAAACGGTTTGCAGTGAATGAAAAGGTATTCCAGAGAGGAAGAGCAGTGCTGAGCAATCACTGTTACATCTGTGCACCAGCCACTATTAATGTAGAAGCAGACACCTCCACCTTTGGTCTTACCAGAGAGAGAGGCCTGCCGGTCCGCGCGCAGCAGATGAAAGCCCTCCAGCTTGAGCGCGCTGTCCGGGATGTCCTCACAGAGCCACGTCTCCGTAAAACATAACACACAGGAGGAGGCAAAGTCTCTGTTCATGCTTCTCATCAGGGCCAGTTCGTCTGTCTTATTCCTGAGTGATCGTACATTGGAAAGGAAGATCCCAGGAAGAGCAGTTCGCAGTCCACGTCTCCTCAGACGCACGAGTGCGCCGGCTCGCTTACCTCTCTTCCAGCGTCTCACTTTCCTGGTCAGAGTCTGCAGTAAATCTGCCGCGGATGCGACAAATATTGGAAGTAAATCCACAGGTGTTGTAGTCCTGTGGTTAAGAAGCTCTTCTCTGGTGTAAGAATATCCAGAGGAGTGCCCAGACACAGAAGTTATGCACAAAAACAAGACAGAAGTAACGCACTGAAGCACCAGGGCATCCATACGCGGCGCCATCTTGGATCGTAACGCAGTGCTTAAACAATGGGAAAAACACAAACTTTGTCCAAAACCTCTCATGTTTAACTGTTTCCCTCTTTTTCTTTGGTCATTTTAGCCTTTTTGGCCAGGGTGAAGGGAGTATCTGCCATCAAACAAGAAGACAGCCGCATGTAGCTATGATGATGTTTGCTAGTTCACCTTACATGCATTAATGTAATAACGTGGTTAGCCTACTCAACGTAAATTACACACGAACAACATGAAGCTACTCACGCAGAGAAGAACGGCTGCTGCTGCATCATCATCCTCATCATTTCTGCTACACTGGCAGGGCTAGGGGCCAGGACTCTCCTCTTCGTGTTTTTGGGGGATGTTGCATAACAGGCAACCCACCCGCAGTAGATGTGCTCGGTGTGAGGTCTCGCAGCAAGCTATCAAATACG